GGAGGAAGCAAAACCTGTTCAAAATGCTAGTTTGATGTAACGGAGAATGTTCTGGTTCACGAACGATTGGTGCTGATCGACTATCTAAGCAATGTGAGCCAGATGTAAACCTCATGCTACCGAAAATAAGTTGGCATTTAGATTTCGAATGAGCAGATTTCAACTCATAGGACGCTTTATTAATTGAAATAAGAACTAGAATCGGCTACAAGGGTACTGAAATATAGGAAAAACTCGGAACCTCAGTTGGACTTCGGACTTATTACCCGATCAGGGCAAAACAATGACGTCGATTGGCAGAGTGCATCACATCACAGCACATCACGTTAGCATCCGAGAGAGTAATTGCTGGTTCGATGCACATTCGAGGTTTTGGCTTGGCTCATATCTCAGTGTACTTGTGATTGTATTTCACATCATACCGTGGCATGAAAAAAGAACCGACAGTAAGTAAAAGTCGTAAGACACTATGAAAAGCTACTCTTTTCCGATAGTAGGAGAAGTAATTGCTTTCTCGCAAAGAAGTCTTGCGTTCCTTCAGCCAACGCATCAGGTTTTCGCCTCTTTTTCGTTTTCTTGTGCTCCAGAATTTTATTTCTCGAAAAGCAATGCAATCAAAAATGCGGAATTTTCAATCTAGAGTTACCTGTTTTACATTGATACTTATATTACTCGCTATCACAACCCGTGCGCACCCATTCGTCCACAACAAACATCCATGAAGGTGGTCAGGGTGATATGTGAGCCAACAACTGGCTGAGAAAATCTCGTCATGTTGTTCATCTTTTTTTACTCTTTCCTTACTGATTATTTAGATCCCGATTCTTAAAATCTTGAAGGAGCCGTGCTAGATTGCCCTTATATTTTGGCTCTAGACAGCCGTTATCCATAAAAGGTCCAATGTTTTGTCGTTATAACACAGAGATATTTCCATTAAAGTAGCGATTTTTGTGATTATAGCATAAAGAGCGTTGGAGACGATGTAGCAAACAGATCCAGGTTGGAAGAATAAGTTCAAAATGGCATTGAAAACAGTACACAAGTTTGTTGGATGTTCAAATCATCAAATGCCCTAGTTATCGAAAACTATCCATAAGTTACCCGCATGGTGTGGTGGTGAACGCGTTACTCCCCGGAAAGGACAATAGCGCGTTCGTTCCCCACCATAGACACCTGCGGTCCAGAGTTTTGCAAATATCTCAGCAACGTTGTGGTTGTATTTCGCTTAGTACCCTGCCGCGAAATTATAGTAGGCAGAAAATAAAAAGGTATAACATTATCCATAAGTTACATAAAAACCAGAATTGTCAATGCGTTAAGAAACTGTGTGGATCAGACTAAGGCTAGCAAAGACAGCCTAATAATTCATTTTTCCTCTGGAGTAAGTGACGCGCACTATAAACACAACTATGAAACTGGATCTATAGGGTGAAATGAATGTTTGCGCTCCGAAGATGGGTGAATCGCGGAAATATTAATAGATGAAGTCTCGGCCGGAGCTTAAAGCATGGTTATAAGCAGGAAAGTGCTAAATTATGCATTACTATTGAAGAAAACGTCCGTCATACGCACATTATAAATGCTTACGAGGCCACCGTCGCCGAAAATTCTCCCACAGGAGCGGTGGTCCCAATGCTCATGAATAACAGAATTTGGGATCCAAGTAGGAGAACGTAAATATGAAGGAATGCGAGAATTTCTTAATTGAAATAAGACTTGGATGGATTTTAAGCAGCAAAAACGACACACAAATTCAGCAATACATTTTCGACAAATGGATCGTTAACACACTATGGACGCTATAGAGTTCATACGTAGCGACGGGAGTGGTCAATACTAACCAATGTAGTCCATTTTCATCTCAGGGCACTTTTTTTTGCAGAAATTTTTTTGTCACACTTTACACATTCATTTGATACTTGACATTTTACATGGTTGATACTTTGTATATTCGGAAGCAAACCAATAGAGCAGGCGTCAGACGAAATACGCTATTGTGTAAAGGTAATTATTTACACCTCCCAAAGGTTTAGTGCCTCACCGTTGCTGGGTTTCCACCACCAGGAAGCGTTTCCACCAGGAAGTCCAACTAGGAGTAAACCAAGGGGTCAAGAAACCGGATTTGTAGTGACTTGCAGCATTTCTTGCAAGCTTAGAAAATTCTTCCTCGTAATTGGCATTCTTCTTCATCTTCAGTGATGTCTTCATAAGCATCATGACCATTCTTCAGCAATAGCTCATCGGTGGCTCTGTCAATTTCTTCAATCCCCTATGCTCTTCGATTCTACAGAATTTCATCGTTGACCCACTTACAATGGTAATCCAGAACCTTAAAATGTTGGAAATATGTAACATATCGTTATCAAAGCACGGAACTCATACGCAATACAGATGAAACCATTTTAAATGATAAGATGAACAAATAAGTTTTCATACTTGATACTTGAACGGCTCATTATCACTGGTTATGCGGGCCTCAGGACAATCACCATTTTTCAGAGAATTGCTGGTTAAGCCATTGTTGTCCCATAGAATCCCGAGGACAGCCTGGGTCGTCACCACGACAGGCAGTCGCAGCCCTTGTGGAGATTTACCACCATGCGATTTTGATACTAAGACGGTGGTAGGTCCTGGTATTGGTTTGCTTTTAGCAAGGCTTTCTCATGGAAACGGCGGACTCCTTCTCAGGTTGGGACATCCTGCCGGGGAGACGAATACCCACGCTGTACATCGCAGTCCGTCTCTCAGAAACACTTCCTAGCCACGATCGTCCTCATGGAGTCGGACTTGTAGAAAGGCCTTTTCAACGTCTGATGTAATCGCGATTCCTCCTATTTCAAAGCGAAGGAGGGTTCCGAACAATTGCGAGAGGATCATTGGTCCTCAGTGTACTGATGCGTCATAAACTTTTCTGATCTTAGTGGTATTTTTATTGGGAGTTAAGACTGATTGGTAGGGAATGTAATAAACTCGAAAGCTCTGTGGCGTTTCCTGTTCGTTTATTTCCTCTAGGATGTGCAGGCGGAGTTGTTCTTCGATTATGCCATACCTATAGAGCAGATCTTTATTGTTTTGTAGGAATTTCCAAACACTTATGAGTCTTTTGAGTGCAATTGCTTTATTATCAGGTGATGATAGCTGTGCGTCTTTCCATGGAAGACGAACGTAATATTCGTTTAACCTCTTTTCAATGGTTTTGTTGAAGGTTTGCCATACTTGCTGATCCGTCAGTGCTTTTTCCATTTTTGCGGAGTTCGTGAATTCTTCTGTTCCGGCGGATTCGAGGGTCTAAACTTGTTCCCATTTGTTTGCTTTGTCTTCTTCCGTTTCTGAATCTTCAATAAGGCAAGCATGGACTTGACATTCCAATACCCGATGCTGATTGCACTTATCCATTCCATCCTCATTGACTTGCACGTGTAGTGCCCAGTATTGATCCCATCTAGTTCATCATTGAAATCCTGTATGGGCAATGTGTTTCCTTCTTCACTGTGTTGTACTTGTAAAAACACGTTATCATTATCTTTTTGTAGTGCAGGAGGACTTTTTAGTTGACCTCTACATAAATGACCTAGACGCGTTGGGATAAGATGTAACCCGGATAGTAGTTCAATGTGCGGTTTTTCGTTTCTCATCAGGGCCCATCGTTGATCGCATCCGAGTAGAATGGAGGGTTGGGCCACGAGCCTGGTTTGACCTATCTCAATTTGAGGGTTGTTTTTTACTATGAAGTCTATGTGTTTTGGACAAATTAGTAGTGGTTTAAAAGGCTTCATTATCGCGTTATGTGGGAACAAGAATAATGATATTTGATGGCCGTCCGCGTCCCATACCTGTAATGGGACCTTTCGTGAAACGCGTTCTTGCACATTGTTTGAGATGAATGTGTTTAGTCGTAGTTTAATTTCTTCTATCGCCGGTAGATAGAGCTTTTGTGCAAGATTCTCGTCGATAAAGGATAACTCGGCTCCTGTGTCCAGTAAGACGGAAACCTTCTCTAATTGTTTTGTAGCTGGGTTCATTACAGTCAATTCTCCTGTGAGTAGGAAGGTTGACTGCAGTTTTGTGCTGGATTCCGTCGAAATTTTTTCTTTCACCGGCGTCTCTTGTCTGACGTGGTTTATTTTGAACGTAGAAGTGGGCTTCATATGCTCTTTCTCTTTGTGTTTACTGACGTTGGCCTCGTTTTTGGGGTTCGCATTCTTCGTAGGAGTCAAGAACGTCTTCTCGTTTGGTGTTGAAAAGAAGCAGCATGATGTGTGGCGATGTTTGTGGCACTAACGACATGACGACCCGTTGCGCTTAACTGTGCTGTGGGATGAAGAGGCGAAAATATGGCATAGCTAATTATTTTGAAGGCACTGGTATCTTTTTTGAGGCGCTTCGTATTTACTGCAATAGATAGACTTATGGTCGCCTTTACAATACATGCACAAAAGCTTTGTTGTCGACCACTTCCAATATTTGACTTTATTGTCGAGACAAACTGTATCTCGAGGTGTTGAGGTGGTCTGGCGACATACCAGTTCCTGGCTGGTTATAACCTCTTCGAAATATTTTAGAAGCTGCTACATGGTGAAGGGTTCGGCGGGAGAAGTGATTTTTTTGTGAAGAACTTTATGTTGGATCCCGACCGGAAATTTTGAAAGCACTTTTTAATACGTAGACTGATTGTCGACATTTTCACCTTTTTGCACTAAATGGCCTATGATGGCTTCTATGTCTTCCAATAATCTGCGTCGACCTTGTGTGGACGATGAGTGAAGGTAGATTTTGTCCATCTTTCTGAGGAGCTGGCGAATGAGTTTTTTAGAATTACCGTACTTATTAGTAAGAAATTCTATGGCTTCTGGGTAGTTTTGCCTAATGAGTTGGAACTTTTTCATCGATTGTAGAGGTTACCCTTTTAAGGAGCTAAGCAGATAGTTAAATTTTTGTAGCTCGGAAAGATTTTGTAAATGTACGTTTAAGTTGAAAAGCTCCCAAAAGTTATCCCAGTCTCATATGTCGCCATTGAATGTTGAGATTGGGATTGTGGGTAGCTTCAGATTCTTTGCGACCGCAGTGAGGACGGCTTCATGTTTGCCACTGTTCGTAGTGGAGCGTTTGTGGGACGTGTTGAGAAGCTCAGCGTGTGCTTTGAAGCCATGGATCCGAGCATGAAGGAGTACAAGGTATTCGAAAGTATTGTCAGTCGCTTCTTCAGCGGTACTCGAGTACTGTGCGAACTCTTCTTCGATATTCGGTAGCGTTGGGTGCGTATTTTCGAATATGGGAGCAATTTCATCTAGTGCGTGTTGAATCTTTGTGGTCACGTTTTCTAGGGCTGAAACACCTTCTTCTACCTGCTGTAGGCTTGTGTGAATAACGGTCGGCGTTATCTCATCTTGCAGGTTTTGAACACTGATTTCTTCTAACTGCGCGTTTTTGGATCGGGTTAGGACTTTTGCAATTGGTTAGTATGCCGTGTAAGTATCCGTTTGTGACTTGCCAGTGAGAGGTTGGACATGATTGAAGAATTAACGTACTTGGTTGTGACTTCCTTGAGCTGATGGATCCTTTCAAGCGGCCAATGCACCAAAAATTTGTTGAGACGGCTCGATGATATAGGAATACTAAGTGGTTAAGACGATTCGGTCAGAATTAGTTGCTCGCCTTTGTGCACGCCACGTGTGACTTCTTGTAAGTAGCAGTCACAATGCCGGACACCTCAAACTTGAGTAACTAAACCGTTTGTCGTAATTATACAACAATTATAGCATAACAATACAACTGCACAATTAATAATGCAACATTGATACAAGTGATGAATAGGCGCAGCCTGATCACTGGTGTTCAGGTTGCTCATGAGTGAAGAGATTGGCATATGACGTCTACTACATGAGATCGATGTGATGAAAGGATATGGTGACTTGGGCAGCATTGCTGTGACCTGAACTAGCCAGCCGTGGAGTCGTTTATATACCTTTTGGGCTGGGCAGAGCCAGGCTACAGTGGGTGGAGTTAGGCTACAGTGTGCGGAAGAATGGGTGCTGGAAACATTTCTCAAGCGTTGCAATCTGATAAGGCGATAGTCAAAGCATAGGACTGTAACTGCAGATGTTTTTCATGAGATAACCGCCAACGAAATGTTAGATATATGGTTATCGGATCGTCAAAAGGTCACCGGAAACAGTATTCAAATGTTTGACATAAGGTTATATATAAAGAAAATTTCAATGTTCGTGAAGAGTGTTCTCTATATAGAGAACAAATTACGTAAGTCATTGTGTTTTTTTCATACTCGATGGACAGAATCTTCTAGCACAACTGTAGCTATTTTGGCTGGACTATTACCACAGAAAAGGAGAAAGTCAGTAAAATGCACCAACAAATGCAGCTTCACTGACCACCGGTGACCATTAGAAGGAAGCGAAAAAAGGACTGCATGACAGTTTTCGAGCAAATATGGTGCAATCAAAAGTTCAACGGTGGAAGAATCAGGATAAGAACCTTAAAAAGCATGATTGGCCTACGTCTGGCTAACCAATTCTCACTCTTTTAAAATGCCCTGTCAACCATTACATTGATTCGAAACGAGTGATTTCGAACGGTTTTTTAAGCCTTCCAAGACCATGCTCATTGATTTCAATATGCACGGCGCTCCACGTTTCGGACCGTACCTCTTGGTTTCGATGCGATCTCAAAGGCCAAACTCGTAAAAATGGCTGCGGTCGTAACACGCATGTTCAGCATTGGTTTCACAAAGGCTGAAAAAACAACAAAATTCGTTCGCAATGTAAATACGGTAATGGCAAATAGTATAAGGAAATAACTGTTTTTAAGCGTGGTTCTTAGATCAAATATCTTTTAAACTTCAAACTTTCAAAAAAGACCAATTTTTATTGGGTTAGAACTAGAAAACGGGTACCACGTTGACAAAGATCATTAGATGCCCAAAGTTTTCATTTTAATTGATAAAGTTTATGAGCAAGAACATACTCGTTGTAGGGTGTACTGCTTCGGGTACGCATGAATGAACTCTGATTGACCCCTGTCAGTCATTGCTTTCAAGTATTCATGCTTGTGGAGAGTAATTGAATAGCATGGTCTGGAGCAATGCCAACCGACGAATTGTTCAAACTCGATCTCAGACAAATTCTCATCGCAAGTGGTAATGAAGAAATTGAAAAGCAAGAAGATATCGTTCGATTGGTATCGCGGCTACTTTTTTGCAAAGGAAACTGACGAAAGAAACAATGGAAGCGTGGAAATTTCGCATACATTGACGAATCCCTCGTGCGATTCAAATGTAGAGTCGCCATTAGCCTTTATATCCCCACATAAGAAGCATGAGTATGCACTCATTCAACTGAGGGGTGACTAAACTTATAAAATGTTGGCAAGTACCCATAGTAATCTTTAATTATCTAGAAATATATGATGTATAAGCCGCTCTTTAGCTAAGGATTTACCCTAGGGAGAACCGTTCTTATGACAATACGTAGGAATAATAGGAGAGGACTTTCTATTCACGTCATCCACTGAAAGGTAAACGGAGTAGAGTAGATAGCCCCACAAAGTCGTAATAGTGCTGGAGTTTAAAGTTAAAGACATTATTATTATTCCCACAATTCATGGCGCCTCCTTTGCCCAACTCAACAAAACCACAGGAGATTGAAAGTAGAAATGTTGATTGTTGGCAATCAATACATATTTTATGGCAATAGTCGTTAATTACATGCAGGATATATATATATATTTCCCGCCAATTAACTCGTCAATAAGTTTTTTTGCAAATTGTTTAGCGTAGAGAGCAGATTTCCACGAGTTACGCCGTACATCAATTTCTGTCGAGGCAAGGTTTCCAAAAAGTGCAGTAGAGATGCTTTTTTACACAAAATAGATCGCTAGTGATATTTGCATGAAAAAATGCAGCTGGTCTTAGGGTGCCTTGAACGGTGTTTTGTTCTGCTTCAACGCAACTTAAACAGAGCCTTATTTCAATGACTGCTTCAAGCGCAACCATCATTTTTGAACTAATTCAAAGACGTGGTAGTGATCAGGCTCCTAGCCGTGCAAAGTTAGCGACATTGCGCTTGGATGCAGTAAAGGGTAGCAAAGTACAAAGCTCTCGACGTTGATCAATTCCTGAAAAATGCATTATGGATTCAATTTCATTAAGCATTGTTAGAGGTGAATATCTGCCCTATACGACTCGCGGTGGCTTACCGATGTATCGAGTCAGTGCTACTACCCCACCATATAGGTCTGGCAACTTTTTGCCGACCACAGAGGCTTGGTGGGCCTAGGGCGCAGGATCGAACTCATGTGTATGGCAAGGCTCCTCTAACAACTGTGCTACACGCGGCCATTGCTTTGATGTTTTAATGATGATAAATGGAGTACACTGTTCTCCAAGCAAAGTTACTTGATGATTAACGGAGGCAAAGGTGATAGAGGTTATTAAGACCATGTTTTTTCATAAAATTACTGGGATATATTTGAAACACATTTCATAGAACTGCAGTATGCAAACTTCAATTTTCTTTTATTTTAATTCTAAAAGACCATAATGATAACAATGGATCTTGTTATCTGTATAATATGTGGTGTTTTCCTCTTTCCCAAGAAAGTGATTGATCATCTCAGAAGTCTTTTCCTTAGTTTAGGAATCGACAGTAGCATACAGCAGGCTAGGTGAATGAATGCAAAGCAGATAACAAAGATGAGAACAAACTCTGTAGTTTGGAAGACATAATCTGAAATCGTAGCAATTTATCGTCGACTTTAATACTAATGGTACTTGTCTGTATTTAGTAAAGAATTACCTGTATGTATTTAGTAAAAAAATTAAACATCCTCATTAGTTTAAGAGACTACCCAGCCTTATAAAACAGCTTGTAGAAAGAAAGGCTAATCCAATTTGAAATAAATTCTAGAAACTTGTCTTTTTAGTGGACCGCATGCTCTTCTTTATCCAACGTGGGTGTTCTTAGTAAGACGACAGTCTAACGATTTTCCACATTCCACAGGCGGTTAATAGTTCCTTGTTGTCGTTGTACTTGTCATTGTCGTTGCTGTTGGTGTTGCTGGTCGACGGCTGACGTTTCGGAGATTTCGCCTTCCTCAGAGCCCGGACATATTTCGTACACTGTAGTTATTCGGTGGAAAAAAGCTCAAAATCTAGGAAGGCGAAATAGCCGAAAGGTCGACCATCGACGAACAACACCATTCCACCGAATAACAACAACAAAGACAACGACAACAAAGACCTATACCAACCTCGCAATGGTCAAACAACATTAGTTTATAAGGTCATATAAATAAATATATCAACCGTCTGTGCCGAGATCTATAGAAAGTCGGTCTTTTGGGTTAGTAGTTCCGTTACGAAAATAGTCGATATAGTAAATGAGGAAGCAAGGGGTTGGGGAAATGAGGTTAAATGCTGCTGGTTATGAAAGCAGTTTCTTTTTTCTTAAAATGTTTGTACGGTTTCAGATGTGTCGTTCTCTTTAGTAAAGATGACTAACTGGATCGTGCTCCTTCATCCAATTCGATAGGCGGTAGAATACCATCGACAACGGCTTCGAGAACGAGTCGGGAAGAATATTTTTCAAAAGACTGACGACTGTACATGCAATTCTGAATGGGAACGAAAGAAGAGTTTGCGATGAATCATTTGAAAATTTGCCTTGTAAGCAGTTGCGAGCTATTTCAAGCTCCAAGAGCTTATCAAGCAGCATCATATGGTAAGCAAAGGCAATTAGCGAAGTTATATAGAGTACTTGGTCATGAGAAGAGCAAGCTTATTTTGGACTTTACATTCAAAATAACTTACACTTTTGGGTTACTGAAAATTCTACTCAATGGTGTTCATAATTTAACTGACCAGGAAACCGACGAGATAGTTACATTTGTCGGTATGATTGCATGTGTATCTAGCATTCACAACGCCCATTACGTCATCAACTTCAATTCTACAGTTGGGCTTCACCTACAAGAAAAAAACGCAAGACTCGGAAAATCCCAATTATTTGAACACTCGATTAGTCGTACGAGAGCAGCCTGAAGCAAGAGGTTAAACGCCAGTCTACAACTTTTTGAAAGAAGGAAGTAAAACAAAAAATTGAAAAAAAGGTTTCAACAACGGACCAGTTTGGATTGTCGTAAACTGAGATTCTCTACTAGCTCTTTGTCCATGCCGTACAATTCGAAACCAACTAGACGACCCGTCTTGGTGTGAACACTCACTTTAACTGCACAAGACACTGCGTTGGACATCTTTAAAAAAGCTTGAAACCAGCAGTAAAATAATAATAAAAAAACTGCATAGAGTACTGAACCACGGCATTTTGATCTGGCCGCCTTTCTTGGTTTTCGTCTATCGATAAACCTACACTTCACCCTCTACCAGTCCAACACAAACGAATTCTTTTTTGCGCCATTTTCAAGCAATTATTACCTTATGTACAGTGATGTTGAAATATTTGCAAATTTCAGACCGTAGATGTCAGTGGTCGGGATCGAGCCCGTGATTAGCCATTCTGGTGGTTAACGTGCTCACTATAGCACCACGAGTCCTTCGTTACGCCTTTCTCTCAGCCATATTTTAATTTATAGGTGATATCACCAATCTCCCCCTTCAACAGGACTAACGGGGCTTACGCACATGATGTGTTGATGAGCTCGTTAATCCACGAAAAGGCTAACAGAGGGTTCTACCCCACCGCAGACAGCTGCGGTCTGGAGTTTTGTAAATGTCTCAGCACTATTGTGGCTGTATTTCACATCATACCCTACCATTAAAAGAAATAGGCGGTAAACAAAAGGTGACTATACTGTGATTTATATTACCTTGTCTATTCTATGAGGTTCTCGTGGGATATCATAGTATCGCCCTGTATAGCAAACTAAACAGCATCCCACTGTGTAACTGCAAAATTGACAGACAGAAAGCTAAAAAATCACTGCAATAAATGTCAAAAATGTTTTTAAAAAATCTCAGAATGAGTATAATTTGTTGCACTGGTAATGAATTCAGTGGAATGTGGTGTCTCGGCATAATAAAGAAGATAGTGCTCTCGGAGCTGATCTATCCCTGAGGGATGCGCCTTGCATTCAACTTCATCAAGCGTCGTTGGAGGTGATTGAATGCATATCCGTTTTTACAATAACTTACACTGGCCTACCAATGTATAGAGCCATTACTTCTATCCTACCAGACTATCGAGCCAGTACTGCTATCCTTCTAAGCAGGTCCGGACTTTTCGTCCAACTGGCAATATACCGTCTAAACATTGCTAACATTTTGATTTCACGGCATTCTTTACGAAAGCTAACCAGACACCGTGTCTGTAAAATCATTAGAGCGCTCTTCTTTCAAAAAACATTTAAAATGCAAGATCGGTAACGACTGCGAACATGGTTTTCAATGGTGTTGTCCCGCTCACGGAAAACCATGCGATAACGTCGAATTATAGACCGCATTCAGCCGAAATAATCATATTCATATAGTAAGAATGATAAAGAACAATAAGAATGTAAGAGTAAGAATATAATATAGGAATGTGATGAAGAATGACGTCAATGAATTAGAGGTGGTAAAAGTTATGCCTTGTACCAGAAGCTATCAACAAAAGTGACCGAAAAAGCATATTTGGAGGGAGAGTCCAGGTGAAAACTACAACATAGTCGGATTTTCAACGATGTAATTATAAATAAATGTTTGCGACAAGGTGAACAAGATGTAAGCTAGGTGACATCCACCACTCGTATATTACAAGCCATATTTTAAGCCAGACGTTGGCTACATAGCAGAATGTTAGGGAGGTCTTGTTCAGGCTAAACTGAGCATAAATCACTAAAAAGCTGTGCATTTGTACCGTAAACGAAGCTTAAAGTAGGTAAGAACAGTTTACCAGGTTTTATAGGAATAAGTGAAAATGTTGAACAACGAAGTGGAGGAAGCGCCCATGGTTCATTGGTGGCGTAGCTCCCCACTCGTACCACCGAAAGCCACAGTTCAGTGCAACACCGGTCGTTCAGAATGCAAAGTACAAATTTCGCATGTATATTGGGAAAGATGTCTTGAAATCTCACGAACCAGAAAATAGTATGGGAGAAGCACCGTAAAATACCCATTACTAAATAAACTAAATCGCACCAATGGATTTTTGGAGTGCCACAAATAAGTAGCAGATTTCGATAAGATAGGTATCTTTTCAGAAACTATTGCTTACCATCGTTCAATATCGTTTCAAATTATGTTTATTGATAAAACATTGGTAAGCTTATCAGTCTAGTGTCAGAGTCTATTCATCTGCTTAGTACTGATAAAGATACAAAGCAAAACAAGACAGGTGCAAAAATGCAGCACAGCCACTGATATTTTGAAAAGATAATTAGCTATACCTTCCAACGGTTTACCGCCTCACCATGGCTGTTAGGTGTTTCTGTGTGTCGGACTGCTATCTACATCGGGGAAATTCATCCTCTTGGCAGGGTCCTCCCAGGCTGAGAAGGAGTCCGGCATTTCCATCGGGAAGCCCAGCTAAGAGTGAAACAATACCAAGATCAACTACCATCCTGGTATCAAACTAGTCGCATGGTGGTAAATCTTCCTTTGATCTACAAGGACCGCGACTGCCTTTGGTGGTGACGACCTGGGGCAGACTTTAGCCAGACTAACCTCGGGATTCCAGAGAACCACAATTGCTAAACCAGAAAGTGTTCAAAAAACGAAGATTATGTGGGACTCGCACAACTAGTGAGGACTGTCCATTCAAGTATCAAGTAAGTAAGTACCGTCAAATTGTGTGCGACCAATTGAATTGAGTCCAACGATTATTTTAATGATAGTGAAGGGGCGGTCCTGATTTTAATTATGGTATAGATAAGTGCAATGTAAAGCAAGGGAAGGCGAATGGATAATACAGAATTAATGAATCCTTGTTTTCTTATGTTTCCCCGAAACATGCTTCTTCCCTAGAAATTTCCTTTTTTCGAAAAGAAGAAGGTCAAAGAAGAAGAATGTTTGAGTACATATCCCAATATAATAACAAGAAAAAACCGATATTTTACAATCTCGAGAAAAAGGAATAGCGTTCACATGGCAATATCAGTGAGTTATGATGTTTTGGTAGATCAACACTGGTCGAATCGATTCAGCCACAAGTTGGTACATAACCCTGGTCATCTGTCGAACAGAAGACAAGTCATCAATAACGAGAACACCTTTTACGAAGTGTTTTTTCGTATGTGGATGCCAGCAAAAAACTTGTAGGAACATCTACGAGTTGTCAGTTAAAGATTTCCGGGGTTTTCTTGAAACTCATTTTACTTCTTCAGTCGGCGATTTCTTTCTACCTATCTAACACCGTCCCTAAGCCAAAAATGGAATAAATTTAAAGCTTATAGATGTGATGCGTGCCGTCTGATTGTTAATCAAGACTAGTTGTAAACAGAAGATGTATCGTATACGACTCGACTGGCACTAGTCATTTCAGTCACATGAAAACAGTGCGCAAGCCCGCTGTACTCCACGACCTCACCACTTAACTTACTGTGACTACCTCATGGTTAACCCACGCAATAAGAGAGATAGTCGACAGTAGTAAGACAGTAAGACAGCAAACCAGGAGGTATGTTGAAATGCAATTCCGAAATAAACATTTCAAAGGTGGATGTCAGTAGATGGACAAGTGAGCACAATCTAGTGGTGTTCAGTTAGATACAAGATCTCTCAAGTGAGGAGATCAATGGGAAACATCTTGCTCTGATCATTAACGGCCATAACGATTTCACGACAGCTGCGATCGATTCGCTCTGGAACGGCGCTAAGTAAAGACCGCAGTAAGTGATCAGCTCAGCCCTTCATCATTTGATTTATTTTTATCCCTAAATATCCCACCATTCTACGAGAACTCTTCTTTCTTATTAGTATAACTCTGTGCTTCCAATATTTTCTATTTTTTTCTACCTTAAACGACCCATTTTCACATATACTGCGCTGATCCCAGCACTTTCTGCATCCGATTCTTTCCTCGTATCTATCGTCGTGGAAAGTTCTCGAACTTTTCCTGCATGTTAGTTCAGATGTTGTTTGAGGATTGCAGTCTTCTTTACGAATGTCGTTGGATGCTGATCGCGTCGATTCTCCCTGGAGCCCTGTGACAGCCAGGCCGGAGCGTTCCCACTTAAGTCACAGAGAATGAACTTTTCCCAGACAAGTCTGGTGCGAATTTCCTAATTCCACGGTTTGGAGGCATGGTGAGCTTGGACGGTGTCGTACCAAAACCGTGTGTGTGGTGAAGGGTCGAAGTAGCACTGCGTTACTGGATCCTCTTTCCCAGTATTATTTTAGAGCAACAATAGTGTTAACTACAAATAGCAAATACACCTCAGATATTTGCAAGTATCTCATTATCATTGTGGTTGTATCCCATACAACACTTTGCTATGAAAAAATGTTAGGTAGTAGATAAAAGTCATACATTGTGGTTCCGACTATAGCACCAGATTAACTGGATTTAATGCCGAATTTGTGCTCCGCAGTTCGTTCCCATTGACTGGAGATTGCCGATGGCAGCGTTAAGTTGAAAACTGGCTGAGAGAAGCCCAGAGGAAGGGTCTCAGCGGTGCAGTGGGTAACCTTCGGCGTAGTGCCCAAGTTTTGAAAATACATCAATATCATTGTGACTATATTCCATAGAGTACCCTGCCATAGACAATAAAACAAAGTTTTACGAAAATGGAAATATTTATGTTTTGCACATATGTTGAACTTGCCACGTCATTATAATTGTGATGATGTTGTACAATAAAAGTTCGTTTGCATAAGTTTGAAGTGTGGCGCAAAAGTTCACCCTAGCTACGGTCGAGATACCGCTCCAAACTTTCCTCGGCTATGATATCAGTAGCAAGGCTTATCATTGTTGCCTGAAGAAAACCACCTACGCATTTTTCTTCCTCGTGTTTCACTTGCAACCTAGAGCACGAAAAACATTCTACATAAAAGTGACAAGTTTCTTCAAGAACGGTTTGAGAGTGCTGTCAGTAGTACGGTTCAAATGATTTACTAAGGCATGTGCATTAACGAATCAAGATGAAGAATAAAAATACTTCGTTGCAGAAACCTTCAATCGTTCGTGAATTATGTGGGGATTACTACCAGCATTTAGATAAAGCCTATAAATAGCCGGAATCTTAATTGTAGCAACAAATCTGAAACTTATGTTTCAATTAGTTTCATTCATGATATGTGGTACGTTACGAAACAAGTGGAAGAACATGACACCGAGCATCAAATCAAGCATTATGAAGGAGCATATAAGAACCGACCCTGAAAAACATCATCTTTTAAAGATTCTAAATGCGCTCCTTAATAACCATCTCGTTAGCACTAAGAACTATTCTTAACGCTAATAGATGCCCCAGCACGAAGTGTTCAGGGTTTGGTGCCAATGAGTCCTTGACTTTTACAAAAGGTGGAATTCCACGGATTTTAATTTCCTTGGAAGGAGAATTTCGACGGAATGTTGAAAAAACGGAGTTCAGGGCGTACTGTACTGAATTCCTTTTGCAGACCGCAGTTCGGCACCTAGAAGGGCCTTCTAGCCAGGACGAGGTGGTAAATCACTGACGGAAGGTGCTTCATAATAGAATACTGTAAAAACGCTGTCACCCAACGCTGCTACTTCGCCGGAGATTTGAAACTAATGATTTAGCAGATCGATGAAGCGTACCGATTTTGGATTTTATAGTAGCAAGGTTAGGCAAAGAACTAGTGAAATGGTACTGAAAAAATACCTACTTTCACAAGACATAGGGTTAGGGTCGCAAGGAAAAGAATCTTGGAGCAGACGACGCCAGTGTTCCACTGGAACGTCAGCTACAACTATTTTCGAAAACTCTATGAAACGAAATCTTTTAAACATATTTTTTGTACATTTTGTTAGTTTTGCATCCCCCGTTCAATAAACTTTCCTATTTACTCACCGTTTTCAAAATAATGTGTCAAATATGAAAGCCCATGTTGGGGTGAAATTACAATACCATTGCATCGTCTTTCCATACTATTATTATTGGTGATATCAAAGCTGCCTTTCAGTTTCTCAGTAGAGAACCTATTTTTATTTCCTATTTCGAAAGGATGGACGGCTTTGTTGATTCACCCGTATAACCGAATGTGACTTTCGGTTGCTGCAGGCCGATAGTTCTCCTTCTTACCCTAGTAGGCAATAATCAATATCTGGGAAGTTGTTCACCGAATAAGCATTGTCACTGGGACAAATCTCGCTAACTTACGTCACACAAAAAATTGGCTTTGTGAAGTCGTTGTGCACTCACAATCTTGACGATCGAAGTCGTGATCGTGTTCTTCGAAATAAGGTTGTTTGAGGGCTCGAATAATCAGCGACACTCCTACCTCATTATCCTTATTAACAATTTCTTCAAGCATTCCCTAAAACGATTAACAATAGCCCACAAAAACAGAAAACTTTAGCCAAGTGTTTGCAATTGAGAATAAGAAGATTTTTGGATCGAGTTGTTTGTTTCACCCTTTTTTTGCTTATAGCCGCCTGTTAGCGCTAAATATTTAAAGTATACAGGTCACTTGATCGATGGATTGAATTTAATTCAAACACATATGGCCAGAATAGACGACATGAATTGATTTACATCTATTACTGAAAATAATCACGCACATCGGCGTAACAGATGCGTATCTTAACTCGTCGTGCTAGCAAGCTGAAAAAAAAATTAATAAAATCAATGAATCTTTGTCAAAAACTATTCAAATAATCTGAATAAAGTCATTTTCTTGAGGGCGTGAAATGTTCTCTTCGCGTTTTTGTCGAAGGTTGTATCCGAACTGTGCAGCGACTGTACAAGCGGATAAGGTCCAGCAAAAGACGGCGACATTAGGTCTTCCAGATATTTATGCTGAATTTTAAACTGTATTTGTAATGTGGCATTTTAACCGTTGCGTCGCTGCTTGTGCAATGTGGAGCCGCGTGTAATCGTGAGGAAAGATTGGTGTCCTTTTGTTGACCAGTGCTAAGCGCCTGAGTTCCTCGGGGATTTCGTCGACTTGCTGTAGCCTGGATTCCTGTGGCGGATTGAACCAGTTTGAGTTCATTATGCGAACAATATAACCCTCATTTGATGCAATTTCGTCTTTGTGAAGGGCTGAGAAGCTTCGTTGCCTTCCAACCATTGAACGATCCTCGCCTGTTATTGCTGAGCACCTCTTTCTTGTCAAACTTCACAATGCGATCGAAAAACGGTTGGTTCGTCCTGTTTGCAGAAGAAGCGTCGATAATACCTTAAAACGTCGACTTCTTTTATTATTATGCAATTCCTACTGCATTCATTTATCGGACTTCTCCAAATCCAATTATGTTCACACTCTTTTAAACAGATGAGGTACTTATGTCAAGTTCTTCTACAAATCCTTGGCGAATTGTGCACGTGTTTGTTCCCTCCAAAGCCTTCAAATCCTTGTTGCGGCCGCAATCTCTCCCATCTCCAAGATCGAATTCGGCCAAGATGACATTTTCTACATCAATATCGCACGGTGAGTTTGTTAACGCTTCTGTAGCTCAATACCTCATTAACCTTTGGAGCCGCTTGCTGCGGGTTTGAATTCGTAAAACTAAACCCATCGAAACTGCTGTTTTCTTTTTCGGAATTCAAGCCTGTAAAATTGGTGAAAATGACCATTTATACTATAATTGAAAGCACAGGGCGAATATAACATTGCGGTACATTCGAGAAAAAACCATTCTTAAAACAAGAATACAAAAAAAGTGACACTGTAAATCGGGGATTAGTCCTCGAAAAAGCTAATATTTTGCACGCTGCTGATATCTGCGGCGCAGTAAAACCTATACGGGAAAAATCAAAGGAAAGCTTCTGCTCAACTCCGCTCAGATGCGTGTCACATACGACAAGGTCAAAACAGCACAAAGTTTGGTATAAAATATAACGCATTCATTAGGAACAGTGGGCTAAAAAAGTTTAGAAACAACTTTCATAATTCGATGTTTTTCTTCAATAAGCAGATACGAGGTTGTTATTATAGGATTTATTAGGATACAATAGCTGACGTTTCGGCGGTTTCGCCTTCTTCAGAGCCATTTATTTGTTGTAAGTATTTAAGTTAGTTGGTGGATAGCAGCCACACAGAGTAAACATGGGCGATAATTCATATCGCCCATGTATTACACAGTGCGGCTATATCCTAAAAAATCCTATAATAACAACCTCGTGTCTGCTTATTGAAGAAAAACATCAATCAATGCCAAGGTTAAAAGAAAGTCGGTCATGGGAACTTTCATAATCTCCACAAAAACTTCGAAAGAACTTGATCGCTATTCAATGGCGAAATTTAAAAGATAAAATAAACATACACAAATACTCACTATGACGTTTATGATGTTGTTGCAGAAATCCTTGTCGGCACAGTAACATGATGCGACTAAGAGCCCATAGTCTACTTCAGCTTGGGTCTGGCAACCAAGTTTGCCCTGAAATAAAGCCTTGGTAGTGGATTAATGAAGTTGGTTACGGTTTTCAGCACGTTTCATAGAAGGAAGTTACGACGCACGACATCAATTTGCTTATGGTTCGACCTCATACAAGATTAGGACAGCATGTGGCTCTCTCAATATAAGAGATAATCTAGATAGCCCTTTTTTAACCCTTAAGGCTTTAAGCTGTTAATCAAGTGTCTTCTGGGCAAATAATTCCACTAAGTACAAAAAAAGGAAAAACCACTCGATCTTCATATTACCAATACTATAATTGAGTTAGCCCTTTAAAGTAAGGCCCCTCGTCCACCTAACAAGTCTACCCAAGAAAAGATTCCCATTTTAACCTCTTAGGTCAATTAGAACCATACGTTCCACAGTAGAGTTTCGCGCGACTACGCTCTCACTAAGAAGTGCAAAAATAAGAGAATTTACACAAAAGTTCATAGGCACATGGCCCTAATAATTACCAAGAGCGCTCTTGAAATAACTCGAAAGACCAACTTTCTATAAACCTCGGCATAGATAGTTGATATATTTATTTATGTGATCTTATAAACCGATCTTCTTAAGCTGACGCGAGGTTGGTACAGGTCTTCGTTGACGTTGTCGTCGTTTCTGATGTTGTTGGTTGATGGCTGACGTTTCGGCGACATCGCCTTCTTCAGAGTCGTGATGTCACGTGTGGGACTTGTGCTTCCTTACCTTCATTCACAATTTACTTGTCACCATGTAAAGAAATGCATTAAAATACGCACACCTTGAACACGTGTCTCCTTTAAAACGCACTAGAATGAAAGTGTGTGCTTTGAATTGTTAAACCGACAGTTATAAAATTTACACCAGAAAAACCTACCGAGAACTGGCTTCCATTCTTGAACATCCAAATAGAGCTCTCAGTAAGTGGCTATATAACAAAATGGTATCGCAAGCCAAGTAGTAAAAGCATTCTAGCTCACTGCCTCCTCTCATCCTTCACACATGAAAAAAGTATTTATCAAAAGCATGTATCGTACGGCTAAAAAGTGCGTACAGGAAAAGAGGAAAGGAAGGAATCGCAAAACGGTACGAAAAATTGCCATTTCCAATGGCTACGAAGTAGAAGCCACTCGGGTTCGAGCAAAACCTTGGGTAGTGTCCCAAAATAATATTTCAGACGAAACTAAGATCCTCTTTAAGCTACCCTTCATATCAAATGAAGTAAGTCACGCCATTAAAAAGTGCTTAAGAAAAAGTGGTCTTGAAAATTATGTAACGATTATTGACATCCCACCCAATACCCTACGCCGCCAGTTAGATCGAAACCGTCTCTATGATCGTTTGTGCAGCTCAGAAAACTGTATGATCTGTCCTAACGGGAGAGACGGAGATTGCATGAGTTTAGGTATAATATACTCGATCTCATGTAATGCATGCGGCGAGGAATATATTGTGAAAACGGGTAGACCACTTTGTGTCCGCATAAAAGAACATCTAGATGGAAAAGCTAAAATCCGTCTAAACACCCCTCTAGGTACACATAGGGCACAAAAGCACAACGGCGATGATTTTGAAGTGAATGTGTGGATCCTAGCGCAGGAATCAAAAACATCAACGCGCAAAACTTTTGAGACGTTTTAGATAAATTTCAAAAATCCAAAGATGAACAGGAAAGACGAATGCCTCACTATCACGCGTGACCTGGTGCCCTATTTCAAAATGATATTTTGACCCCGAGGTGTGTCTTGCTCGCGACTCCACGGAAACAACGTGTGGACCAGTCCCGCACGTAACATCACGGTGAGTGGCCTTTCTGTTCAATATGGCGTCTATTTGAAAGTTTGATCTTCATTAATACTTTAACCTTTCTTTTCGACCGAATAATAAAAAATATTCTAATATAAAATACGTCCAGGCTCTGAGGAAGCCGAAGTCGCCGAAACGTCAGCCATCAATCAATAACATCAAAAACAACAACAACGACAACGAAGACCTGTACCAACCTCGCGTCCGCTCTTGAAATATTCAGCGAAAACATAATCTTACCTGTAGAGCACTATTCTCGGTACCATTTGCTGAAGTTTCTTCTATACCGTATGCTTGGATGAAACCAATTTTGAGTGAGATCCGGTCAAGATATATTTTCATTACACAACGTTCTGATGGTGTCGACTAAGCAAGTGAAAATCGGTAAGTGAAACTTGTGGTGGGCGTCATGGAGAAAGAATTGGAAATGTAACCTGTTGGGTACAAACCATACTCTATAGAAAAGAAATGCAGGCGAAACCTACTGAGTATTTGGTTTTGCTGAGAAAGTAAGTCATGTTCCCACCGTGGTCCTCATTGCAAATTAAGGACAAAATACCATCACACCTAAAATAAACAGCCATCGAAAGCTGTGAATAATAAATGACGCAATAGGCCATGAATATAACTGGTCCTTGTGTCAGTAGGTATGAATGGGAGTAAAAAAGTTTCTAAGCACACAGTGATAATCGTTACTTGGTCAAGCACAGTAGTAAATTTTATGTATTAATGTATCTGGATGCAAATTCTGTTACGGCGGGTTATTTAATTTTTCGTTCCAAGATAATAATAGGCCTAATAAGTCTGGGTCCGACCTTTCTTTGATACTCAGAGTCTCCTAAGCGTGTTTGTAGACGTGGTAAGTTTCACCTTTCACTAAACGGAGCTTCAACAGAGAGCAGCAATGGCGAAGGTAAGTAGTGGACAAATCATGCACAAGGAAAGCGGGGCTACTTACCAAACCACGTAGAAAACGAGAAAACGCATAAAATGAATTGAAGAGTTTTACTTCCCGCTTTTCAAACACGTAATGGTTGTTTTCCGCTCTAAGATTTAGAGATATAATAAAGATAAAGAGAGATAAGACGATAAGACTAAGAGTAATTAATGAGTGGAGTCATAATCGGTGAGCGTATCACAGTGATTAGGCATACATTGCTAAACACCGAATCGGTACTGGACTTGTCTGGGGGGATAAAAACCCTGAAATAATAGATTGGTACGCCACAGAAAGTCACTGTGGGCCAATTGTGCATTCAGCCACTTATACAATGTTTCATGGGGTCGAATGAAAGGTGCATCCCTCAGAGAATAATCTACGTCGAATGTTATACCATCTATCATATAGTAGAGTATTTCTGATGATGTCGGAAATTTATTTGCATATTCGATTGACCTCTGACAACTTAGTATTTTTATGCTAAACTGGTTTTCAAAAATGAAAGTGCAATAATCGATTAATAAACCAAAAATATTGTAGCAATTCGGTAGCAGATTTATCCGATATTGATGAGTACACTTTGAATGGTAAATGCTTTTGAGTCACCTTGTCAGCAGAACAACAAAGGTGATCATGGTCTGAGTGAGCAGGTGTAATTTGGGACAGCGATGCGAGACACAAAAGGAATACGGAGGACCCGAATGGTCGCTCAAAGGAAGAAAGATATGACTATAGGCTGGTAACTACTTATATTTCTCGGCAGTGTCACGAGAGTCTGCATGTCGATACGAGATTTTCCAATTTGGCTTATAAAAATGTTATTGTCTAAATAGACAGAGGAAAGCCTCTGTCTAGTGGAAGACACTTTCTTTGGAAAGAATTGAAATCTTTTTTTGGTAAGTTTTCTTGTCGATTTCTTTTTCAAAAAACAGCTTTTCCCAGCGAGCACTAAATCAAACAGTAGCTTGCCAAAATACCTTATGAAAAGGTGAAGTTTGCCTGAACTAAACTAGAAAGCTAAAAATAACTAGCCCATACAACTCACGTGCAGCGAACTGATTATGAATGTCTTGCAATACTCCGTTGCTCGCTGGTTTTATACCACATACTGGTATTACCATAATACCACATACCATACTGGATTACCCAATCTCCCTTCGTAGTAGTATGACCCTAAAAGTGGTCGTGTTCATCACATATGCGTTCATTCGCCTCTGCGATTCATAATTCAGTCGAATGCATAATGCATTTCCAAGGGATTATTTAAGGAAGGTTCCTTCACCCTTTATCGATGGTTGTAAGGTTCCCTTCGTTCCCTTCTCCTTTATCGATGATTATAACAACAGAAGAAAAATGTTTTAGGAGGAATTTTTCAGAAGTGCGTTGGTTTTGCAAAATGGAGCGCGACTAGCAGCAGACAATGATCGTATAGAACTATCAAACAGGTGCGCTTCCCAGAACACTTTTATTAGTCACATGCGTGGCATGGCTCCCGAGGTTGTGGGCAATGTACCCGAAATGAACTTGAGATGGAAGGCACCTCATTATTTGCGAATTCTGGCAAAGGTCGAGTAATTGGCGGCACTCCTATTGTACATTTTTCATTGTCAACGAGTGTCATTCTTACAATAGCAGGAAAAATCAGGGCAGGTAGTCTTACAAGGTTATTCCTCCACCTGCGCAATTTTGGCCACGTCTCGGTATGGTTCCAGCGCTAAAACTCCTACGCGACAACAAACTACGCCAACGTTGGCTAGAGATAAACTTATCCATGTTTCTTTGAGCATGACTTATGCTTAATAAAAAGACATTTAGTTTCTCGACCTATGTTACTAGGTCTCATTCGTTAGTAAATGTCTCGAAGAGTTTTGAATAGGCAAAATAAAATACTTGCCATTTGAGGTACGATAGGAATTTTGCTTAAAGTTCTATGGTTTAAGGTCAATTCCCTAATTTTTCTTTGACTAAACAACAATCACTTTTTGGCCATAACCCTGTTGATCAACCTGGTCAAGGTCGCGCGTCGACCAACAGGCTCTGCAAGTTTGGGAGACACGAAGGGCACCACGTATTTTTACATGAGACTGGTTATGGCTAATTTTTTGGGTTGGAAAGTGTCCATGGGAAGATAGTCGATGCTCAATAACATACTTAGTATTAACTGGTCGTGTGGATGGAAACATAAAACTGCCCAGGTTCGCTAATCCTGGTAGATTTTCATTCATCAATCTTTGCGAAGTGGCAGATCCTCAAGAAATATATTTGATTATTTTCTACTTTTCGTTACATTTAATTCATCTCCACATATTATTCGGTTCCATGCACGTTTTTTCACTGTCTTGCCTCCATCAACAGAAGATATTCGATATGCATGTGGCATCATCAAGGATGTTGATCTAGTGAATATCATCGAATGTTGATCAAGCTGTTTTCTACAGAAATTCCATGGTCCAGCTTGATATAGTAAAGTCGACGTCAAGGTTTCGCGGCTTCACCAATTATGATCAAGATTTGTGAAAAATGTCCTGTCTTTCCTTCAGTGCTAATCGTAGGCATGAAAGAGTTTGGTTAAAACACCAAAAAAACTAACGTTGACTTAATGAGCAATGAAATATTGGGCAACACATTTACATATCGACTATTCCTCCACCTTTTTTCATTTACTTGTTTGGAATCTGGGGCAAAAGAAGGAGGTTACTCTCTCATTCATACCCCAAGAAAGAGCATATGAAAGCAGTGGTTCCCCTATCGCTCCAAATAATCCCATCAATTTTTTATTTTTCCCTACCGGCCGAAATAATTTCATCTATTTTGTTCTTGTTTCATAGAACTATGAATAACATTCCACTAATTCGGGCGTCAAATATTGTGTGACTGTCAAGTCGAACTACAGGTCTTTGACAAATATTCCCTCTCGGGATATTTGATTATTAAGAGGAAATTTCACTCAAGTCTTCCTATAAAGGAATTCCTATTTTTGAAATAACATTCTGCCTTGTCGTTTAGTTTTCCGATTATTAATGTACACTGCGTGGAGGAGGTATTCCGTACTGACCTCCTACAATGGGAGATTATTAGTGACCTTGCGCACCTCATCCCTCTCATTACAAGTTTTCTGACCTAGATTCGCAAAAAAAAAGAAATAAATAATCATTAAGATGACGGGCTTCGTGTCACTTCAATTGTAGTGGGAAGAATAGCGCACAAAGAAAATTACATTAGCTTTATGAAAGAGATGATGGGCAACGCATAAGTGCATTTCCAACACCACCACGCACCTCGAAAGCATTATAAAACCAATTAAAAATAGAAAAGAAGATAGGATATAGAAAAGAAAGTGTAAGAGGTAAAAAGGGACATTGAAAGAGCTGAAAGGAAAGGCTTTACTTTTTTTTCTTACTTTTTTTTACTTTTTTATTAAAAGTGATTTGAAGACGATGATATACGACAGATGTTGCCCAGCAGAAGAAGAGCATCTAAAAATTTAAACACAAATGTGAAAACATCTTAAATGTGGAATGTGAAGAACGATGTTTAAAAACATGTTCTTTTTCTAAGATCAACTTTCTATTAACCTCAACATTGGATTATAAATGTGCCGTTTTCTATTTCAGCAACCGCGAGGTTGTTATTAAGCACGCGTTTACTTCCGTACCCATAGAACACAACGGTAGCTGACGTCTCGGCAGTATCGCCTTCTTCAGAGCCGTTTTAAATGTGAAATAAGACGACGTATGATAGATGTTGAATAGCAGGAGGAGAACATCTAAAAAATCAAATTTAAATTCAGAGCTGAAGAAGGCTGTACTAGTGGCGTCAGTTACCGTTGTGTTGTCTGTGTGTTTTTTTGCACGGAACTAAACGTGTGCTACAGAAGAGCCTCGTGTTTGCTGAAAAAGAAGAGGGTACCTTTATGTTCTATTTGTGCCGCACACATTTTTAGACTGCTCCATAAAGTTGCAGAGATGAAATGTTTCCTGAAATACGATTCTGTGGGGAATAAAAAGTACTCCGACGAGCGACCTTCTATTAACCTCCGCACTGATCAAACACTTCTTTATGTTCTTGCTGAGCACACCACAGCTATCACTTTACTCTTTATTCCGGCAAAGCTGACGTTTCGGCGGCATCGTTTCCTACAGAGCTTGGAAAGGTATATTTATATGCAATTTATTATGCCAAGCGCTTCAATAACACAGACAGAAAGGTGAAAATCTAAATGGCAATCACACGATCAACAGCTTCTCGAAAAACTCGCTATTTTTTGGGTGCCTTCCACAGAGGAAGAACAGCTGGTCAGAGTCGCGTATGGTTGACAACTGCATTACCCACATCAAAAGTCAATGCAATCGTAGGGGCCAGACCGCATGTGACCTCTCGACATTCCCCTTTGCTATTCATTCTAAGGTTCTTGATGTTTATCCAAAAAGCGTCAAGAAGTTTTCCCCGCTGGTTTTTGGGCATTTTGTAAGAGGATAGTGACGTTTATGTCAAAATTGTCTCCGCAATGACTTTCTATCGCATAGAAAGGTTATCGGTGCTCTCCTTAGAAAATGAGGCTATATTAACTGATACCCACTTAGGCCACTATTCCAAATAGCAGTGTTAACTGTTGCTTTTGAAATTTAGATCAGCTAGTCATTTTGGATTTCTGTGGCAGTACTTGTTGTTTACAATTTTTCCTATGAACTTTGCTGACGCTTTATTTTAAATGTTTATCGAGTTCTATCTTCGTCTTTTCGGTTAAATTCGAATCACTTTAACAAATTAATTTTAAGGAATGGCTGCATATAAAAAGGTTAATTTAAAATCCACGCGAGTTTTGCATAGGGTGAGGAGGGTATGGGTGTGGCGTAGTGACTCAAACGCCTAGGCCGGATGTTTCCGGCGCGGTAAACAGCTAGCGGACTGACTGCCAGTCTGCGCGAGTCCAACGAAGGAAATCTGCCAATGTTCGACTCAACAACTACACATTTACCTCAGAGACCGCTCATCCTTTACTCTCTGCAAGGTCAATCGATACTTCTCTGAGGTATTGTCATAACATAGTTAACACGAGGTTGTTCTAAAAACCTCTATTCGGCTAATGTCTCAACATCTTCATCATCCTCAGAGCCGATGTTCCCAGTCGGTGGTCCACGTGATCTTTGCGATGTGGATCTCCACTTAACTACACCTTCATTTCCACTTGTTTCTCAAGTCACAGATGATTGCGTTGAACTGTGAGGGTGTAAAACTTCATCGACCACCTTAATCGGCAGCTATTTGTATTAAACCACAGTTTTAAGTTTGTATTTTCAGAATCTTGATTGATTTTTTGATGATAAGTACAAACAATCACGTCGAGATGTATTTAACATCATTTCTCCTTTATTTTCTACTTTTGTCTTTTTCTCTGTTAATGCTGAACTTTGCTAATCTTCAAGGAGTTCTCCGCTGACCAGTAGTGACTCAGTAGGAATAAACTACAATAATTCTGCAACTAATACGAGCTTTAAGATGAATTCGGTAGAGACGACTTTTTGTTGCACACGGTGGTTCTTATTTTGTTACCATTTCGATTACTGTAGAATGAAGTTTTTTTGCAGTCGTTTTCTAAATTTGTGAAGGAATTTTTCCAGATGTCTTCCAGAGAATGTCACTTATTTTAACTCTTTTATTTACTGCCTTTTTCTTCTTAATGGCAGGTTATGTTGCGAAATATAACTCGTATGAAATGCTGAGATATTTGCAAAACTCTGGACCACAGGTGTATGCAGTGGAGAACGAACACGCGCTGTTGTCCTTACCGGGGAGCAGCGCACTTCACCACTACACCATCCGGGTCCGGATGTTCAGCATATTGCCTGGGCATTTTTCGTTTTTGTTAGCGGTTTTTTGGTGACTCCAGGACCTGGATTTAGACCATGGATGGTGACCTACCATGGATCTGTCATGAGCGGTTGTTAGAAAATTGCTAATTATTAAGGGTTTTACGACGAATTATTTTATGCCTAATATGTTTTATCTGTTAATCTGCTGCCAAAACCAGTGTTATTCATCGTAATCCTCATATTTCGGATTAATATGAGCAATAGTTCTGAGTAGAACAGGTTCATAGATGTGACGAAGGCACAATACAACTTGTAAATCTTTTTGTCTGAAGTGCTTACTTCACTTTAACGGTCCACCATTAGAGATTTACGAAAGATCTGAGAGCTTGCGACCTCAAAAGGGAGTTCTGAAAAGGTGAAAAAAGAAACAACGCCAACTTGAGCTTAGATTTGATATTGCGTTTATAACATCATTTGCTTTATTTTTTTTATTTTGACCCTTAATATTTATTTCATACGTTATTGTCAAACTCCCAAACATTGAAGTGACGAATATCGGCTGAGGTAGCGAAAACCAGATTATTGGTAAAACATCTTTACTTAACTTGAAATGTACCTTTAATGTTTTCCTTAACAGTTTCTGAACAGATCATTGCTTTGACTATTCTTCGCCTTTTTAGCTGAAGTAACTCGTCTCGTTTCCATTCTGTAGAGCTTCTTACGCTTTTCAATGTTATTGCTTCTCGTTTTTCTTCTGATTTTTATGACATCTACTAGTAGTGAAAGGTATTTACCAAAATCTTCCAGA